GGTTTTCGCAACTCGGTCATATTGATAGGAAGACTTAGAGGAGTGCACCTTGTCCTGAGTCCATTGTCTATATGATGAATTCCAAAGTCGGACCGTGGACGTAGTATATTCCCATACGTCATGGGCTTGGTATTACGGATATAAACAGGATAGACGCGGCGGCGATGGAAGCTAGTGGGCTAACAGTAGGTTATACAAGATACGTGGTCCATGTTTCAAAGGCGTGACCATGACATTTACTCAGAGGCTTTAGTCTCGAATTAGTCACCCAAACGCAGGGGAGAGCCAATAACGCCTCGAGTGGCACAGATGGGGTGGCAGGGGTCGAGTGAAATATGTGAACCAGGGAGAGGGCAGAAGGATCTTACGGGGCAAGAGAGAGACTGTTGTACGACTTAGGTAAGGAAGACTGCGTAACAATATGGCAGACTCTGATCAACATTCCCAGCACAAGGATGAAGGGCGGTGTGAAGGCCAGCGTGGAGTGCGTAGGGTTTTCATAAAAGCCACTAAAAAAGGGCACACCGTACCACATTTAATTAAGCAAGTAAAATATTGTGACAGTGAAGTCGTGATTGGAAGATATAGGAAATGTGAATAGGCCAGGACAGAAGGGAAGATACCATAACTGTTTAGCACAAGTTTGGTCAAAGGATCGGCTTCACTTTTCTCTTTGACGAGTTGTAATATGGTGTTACGAATGGTAAAACTCACTGACGATGCCGACTTCGATGTCGGTGAAACGTCTTGGAATGTACCACGTTCACGATCCGAATTTGGAAATAATTATGCATACAATGGACTCAGGACAAGGTGCGTTCCTATAAGTATCCTACCAATATGACTAAGTTGCGAAAACAGGGTCAAACAACTTCTAAGTTAGTTTTGTTTGTTCGAAGCTAATAACACTATTTTGAGCTTACTTCCATTTCGAATAAAAGTTTTTGGCGAAGAGATTCGAAGGTCCATTCCACCAGAATACGACAGCTGGTCAAGAGGAATCTGCCGTTGTCTTCTGGTGAAATCGACTTTTTAATCTCTTCACCAAACACTTTCAGTCAAAATGGATGTAAGCTCAAAAAATTATAAAACAAGAGATTTGTCGTAACCCAAATTTTCTTCTCATATACTACTAACACTAGTCAAGCACAGAGTTCTTGTTCTGGGCCTTTGGTTTACCTCTAAAAATATTTATCTGATTTCTTGAAAAGACAAGTATGAAATGGTGCAGAACGCTAGAATATACGCTACTAAGAATTTCTAACACAGAGGAAAGCCTTCTTTTTCCTTTATCGTTAGCTGACCAATATTTACGGTCTGATGTGTATGTCGACCGAATGTACTTGTTAACTTCTAAAAATAAATTTTCTGAGCTATTATAATCAAATAATACATTCATGCAGTAGGGCCATATTAGGCTGGAAACCCTTAAGTTATGTTTTTTTAAGCTTTTCTCTCCTAAAAATGTTCTTTTGAAATGGACCAGCTGAATGTAGTTAAAGAATATATCAAAAAATGTGGTTTTCCTTCCAATATGCAGGTGGGTTACTCCCAGAACTAAAAGGTTCTTTACCGTTAGTATATGAGTTTCTTATTTGCAAGCTAGGATTCAAGAATATCATGCCGCAAGTTACCAAGTTGTATATTCTACTCTAAACAGCAAAACACATTATTTTGTTTGAGTAGTTATAGTAATGTTAGCTGATAGTACTAATAGTATACTCTGTCGTGTTGCTCTGTTGAGAAGAAAACGAGACTTATTATCTAATTTGGTACCTTTACCACTTGTCACACAATTCGACCCTCGATCCCCGTTAGAACTGCTGATTAGTCTCATGCAAGTTTGGGACTGAGGTTCATTCAGGATGAAAAAGCCCTATATGAGGCAAGGATAAGTTTAATTTAATAGAAACATTAGGCCTTCTGCTAAGTTAAAATCGGGAGCTCAAATTATTAATCCTCTGATCCTCGTAAGCCACCAAAGTTGACTGGGGTTCATATTATTACGACCTGGGAGACTTCGGGGAACCTATTTGCATCCGTTGCTATATTATTCATTTTAGTTCAGTAATAAATCGTTTTACAAATACTTTATGAAAGATTTTAGTAGCATCTTCAAGCCGCATAGTCATTGACTGAAACGAAATTCAACAATGACAATGGAGGCAGTCTTAGGTATGATGGTAACTAACCGCTGTGATTTAGTCATGCCCTAACTAAAATCATGGATATTCATATTCTTTTGACCAACAAGCTACTTCTGACAGCTAGTAAATTAGGAACTCGAAATAAGGGGACATTGGGCCGAAGCAGTTTGTATGTTGACAAGGGCCTGTTGCTAGAAGCAGAGAAAAGGTAAGATAGTACTAAAAGTAGCCCTTTTTCTAATGGACAATATAGTAAAGATCATGATCGTTTCAATGGACATCCTTGCCCAAGATGTCGAATACTATCCTGGCGTTGAAGAAGTTCATTGGGTCTATTCTGAAAAAGTACATTCCACTACTAGCAGAAGACAAGAGGTATGATTTTCTAAAACCCTGATCAAGGCAACCAAGCTGCGAAAGCGGCGTTTGCGAACAGAGGTTGCAGCAGCACAAAATTTCATACTATCCTGGCCTAACAACCATATTATTTAGATATCTAGTCAAATCGCTACACCCACCCATACGCACACACAAACATATAGATCCTTCCCTTAACGAACATTTGCATTAGCTCATTTCGTCCAGCCTTCCTAATTATGCCCAGATGAAGAGTCATATGGATGCTACTCCTACCCAAAAACCCTTACCACCACCTGCAGAGTGTACATCAGCTTGACTTACAAGCTGGTAGTCAGCTTGAATAACCCTACATCTCCTTTGCAAATAGCATTGAGCATGTCTTTGCAACCAATATTTGGGTCACTATATTTCTCACTTTTTACATTCCTACGAAGACCTACACTTCTTGAAACCCCCCAATAGCAGCATGATGGTTGGGGAAACGAGATAAGACTAGGCATAACCTATGCCAAATACTACACTATGATGTTTATCCACCACTTCATTTTTTGCTTAACCTGTAGACCGATAAAACTATATTTATTTTCATTCCTCATGATGTTTGACAGTAATTCGACTTGCTTCTAGTCATATATGATCTGCATCTCTGCCTCATTACTTAACGTATTTGCTTGTGCATTTGCATAACCTGATAGGCTTAAGTTAAATGAATGTTATATTTGAACCTAGATAGGAAATATGTGCTGAGTATGCAAGTTAGAGAGAAATTCATTCTTAAACTATCAAGTCATGTGACACCACATGGATGTAAACATAAACTTTTGTTTATTTAAAAAATTCCAGCACTTCTTGGGAGACGTTTTAAGGCTGTAAACGTGCAGAACACCGAAAATTCAAGACGAGCGTATCAGCAACTTTTATTTTCCACAGACGCTTCCCTGGCCAAAAACATTTCTGGTGTGATCCTCCACCATGAGGCACTATATGAAAAAGTGGATGATGGAACTCCGCTAGTTCGGCTATTGCAGGTGAATTAATTAAATCAAAATACCATTTAATACAAACAAGCTAAACAAGATTACTGTTATTCTTAATTATCAGCAGCTTTTGTAAAGTAAAGAAGACTAGATAAGCTCAATTTGGATGTATAGTAAGTAACCATTTTGGGGCAGTATTTCAAGAGCATTCGATTATTTAGATATATAAGTTTTTCAAATAAATTTACTTCACAGGTAGGAGAGTAAACCATTTTAAATCTGAAGCACATGTGTATGAGGGGCTAGGTTTTTCTGTAAATACGGACAAATTCTTCAGGTGAACAAACACAGGTAAGTATATGCTGTAACCAAGGTTAAATTTTATATAAACGAAATGATATCTTAAGGTGATGAAGGGCTAATAGTTGAGTTTTCCCACAATGATATGAGTAGAGCTGACGTTTCCATTGAATTTCACATAGCCTTGCTTTCCCAAAAGGCGTTCTCATCCAGAGTGGACTGCAGTTTTGACCTCGACTAGGTCTTATCAACATCCTCAGCGGGAGTCGAACCTGTGGCCCAAGGGCCCTCGTTGTAATGTGGCGTAGTGGTTGACGTGTCGATAATCTGCTCTGAGCTGTCATAGCTCGAATCCCGCTGGAGTCGCCGATTATACCTATGCGAGGTCGAAACTGCGGCCCCTTGGATTAGAATACCGCCTGGGAAGCAAGGCCATGTAAAATTCAATAGAACCGTAAGTTATACTCACATTATGGGAAAATTTAACTACCAAGTCTTCATCACCTTAAATGAAATAGCGTAGTCATCTTGAAACCTTACTTA